GCACTATCAACATCCGGGGCCAGATCCTTCTCTGCGGTGGGGTGTCCTGTGCACTGGGGATGTTGAGCAGTGTCCCTGGCCTCCACTCATCAGATTCGAGCGGTACCTCTCCCCCAGGCGTGACAAGCAAAACTGTCTGCAGACACTGTCAAGTGTCCCCAGGTGCAGAATATCCCCTTGTGAGAACAGAGGTTCCTGCCTTAGGAGGAGCCCAGGATTTCCACATCTGCCCTTCGCCTCCCCGGGCCCTGGAAGGCAGGAGCATGTGGCCGATGCTCTCCGAGACGGGGCAGCCCTTACCCAGCACCTCCCGCTTCAGCTCCTCCCAACGGCCCGAGTGGAGCAGGTGATAGGGCAACTCCTTCAGCTTCCGCACGTTCGCGACCGCATCCGAGAACCACAGGGGCTGAGGGGCCACCTGGCAGGGGAGAAGGGAGGCCGCAGCTTGGACACAAACACAGGCCAGGCCCCAGACAGCGCTGGAGGGGACGGCGACACAACGGCAGACCAACGTCCCCCTTGTCCCCCATGGCCAGGGCTGGGGTTGGGGAGGGGGTTGGGGGAGAAGAGAATCCCAGGGGGGTGGTGTGTGACACTTCCTGGGGAAATAGGGAAGGTTTCCTGAAGGTTGGGGCATTAGAGCTGGGCCTCAGAGGACAAGTAGGAGTCTGTCCAGTAGATGTGTCAGAAAACAGTGGCATTCCAGGGCAAAGGAACGGAATGCCAGGACTAAAGTATTAATGTAGAAGGCAGGGTAGAGGATCACGGTGGGGAATGAGATTGGGGAGGTTTTAGGCAGCAGGTCATGAAGGTGAACATCAGGCTGGAGGTCTAGCTCAAGACAGAGGACACTGGGGAGGTATGGAAGGTGTGAGAGGAGAGGCATGATCAGGTTGGATTGTCAGAGCATTCCTTGGGAGGATGAACTGAGACAAGAGGTCCCAAAACTGGGAGACCAGAAAGGGGGTCAGACTATGTCCTGGGGGACAGGATGAGGCTGAGACCACAGGAGCTCTGGGCACACGGAAGAGGGTGTCTGCGTCAATGGATAGAGGAAAGTTCAGCATCAGAAACGAATCAGGCCTGGCCCTGCCTCTAGCCTCCGCTCCAGCAAGGGAGACAAAGAAAAACGAAAAATTGAGCTATAACCGAAGAATCAAAAGTGTAATTTCCTAGTTGTGATCACTGCACTACGGATATACAAGATTTTAATATCTAGGGGAACGGTCCATGGGAACTCTCTGTACTCTTCTTGCAACTCTTCGGTGAATCTAGAATTATTTTGAAATTTAAAGTTTTTTAGAATCTCACTGTCACCCAGGCTGGAGTGCAGTGGTGCAATCACAGCTCACTGCAACCTCAAACTCTGGGTTCAAGCAATTCTCCCACTTCAGTCTCCCCAGTAGCTGAGACTACAGGAGTGCGCCACCATGCCCAGCTAACTTTTTTTTTAATTATTTTTTTGTAGAGACGGGGTGTCGCTCTGTTGCCCAGGCTGGTCTTGAACTCCCGGCCTCAAGCGATCCTCCTGTCTCAGCCTCCCAAAGTGCTGGGATTACTGGCCGTCCACTGTGCCCGGCCAAGGAGGGCACTTCGAGTGGGAAAGAAGGAAGGAAGGGGGTAGGTGTGCCACACCGGGTAGCCGTGGCCTTGCCGGCTCTGCAGGGTGGAGGCTGCAGGTGAGAAGCAGGGGTCCCGGGCACCTCACCTTGCGGTCCAAGTTCAGGGGCTTCCCCACGAGCGGCAGGGTGATGAGTTTCTTGGTGCCTTGGCTCCAGGCGCCTGAGAAAAAGTCAGCCAAGACGCTGTGCCTCTTGGCTCTCTCGGGCCCCGACAGGTAGCGCTCTCGGACCACCTCGACCAGCTGTCTGCAGAGAGGGGACACAGGCTGATGACCCTGCGAGACCCATCGAGCTCAGAGGTGGCCACTGGCCTTCCTGCAGGCAGATTAGTGGCTGCCAGGGGCTGGAGGAGGGGGAGCGGGGAGTGACTGCTGATGGGGACGGGGCTTCCTCTGGGTGTGATGACAATATTTTAGAACTAGACAGAGTGCGTGATGGTTGCACAACCTCGTGAGTGTCCCACTTTAAAATGGTGAATTGCATGTTATGTGGATTTCACTTCAATTTCAAAAACAAGTTCATTGTGTAGGAGTCTCTGGTGCGGAGACCCTGGAATTCTGAACACACTGGACTTGCGTCTTTGAGAATGGCAGCGAGGAAGCATCTGGCACAGAGAGGCACTCAGGCAGTGCGTCCTCATTCTCAGCGTCCTGCCCAGACAGTGTCACGGCTGCCGCCGCCACCTGGACCTACCTGTGGCTGATGGCCAGGAGCGTGAAGCCGTCCACCGGCCGCCGGGCCAGGCAGTAGCCCAGATCCCGACGGAGCCGCACCCACAGCAGGGGCGGGAACCGCAGCAGCTCCTTGCTGGGCGGGGTCCAGTCCCGGTACACGGCCTGTAGGACCTCGTCGTCCAGGGACAAGACATCCTTCAGCTCCGCCTCTGAGAGCCCGTACCTGCAGGGAGGAGGGATGGGGCTTTGGAACACATCTTGTGTCTTCCGTGTTGGGGGGACGTAGAAGCCGAGAGAGGAAGAGACACAGCCACCTTCACGGAGTCCGGCACCCCGCCCTAAGGATCAGCACTGGGACAGTGCCCAGCAGGGACCAGCGCCCCCTTGTGGCTGTACCCACCAAAGAAGACCTTTCTGACCTTTTCCTCTGTACTCACAGCTACAGAACCATGAGGTGTCCGCCCCTCAACCTCAGAGGAGTCTGAGACAGTCAGCATAGGGAGGGAAGGACGAGATAATGCAAAGAAAATAATGCAAAAACCAACTGCACCCACTCCACCCGACCCCGGCCCACCGGGAAGTAACTTCTTGTTTTTTAGAGACAAGGTCTTGCTCTGTCCTCCAGGCTGGAGTGCAGTGGTGTAATCATAGCTCACTGCAACATTGAACTCCTGGGCTCCAGCGATCCTCCTGCCCAGCCTCCTGAGTAGCTGGGACTACAGGCACGTGCCACCACACCCAGCTAATTTTTGTTTTATTTTGTAGAAATGGGGTCTTGCTATGTTGCCCAGGCTGTCTTCAACTCCTGGGTTCAAGCGGCGATCCTCCCACCTTGGCCTTTCAAAGTGCTGGGATTACAGGTGCGAGCCACCATGCCTGGCCCACGGAGTGTCTTTAAACATGATGAGCCATTGAAGTTTCAGTAGCAGGACTAGAGTGGCCTTCCTAATACCTGAGAGCATTAGACCTGAAAAACTGCAGGATTTGCTGGAAATTTCATCAGGGGTGTGGAACAACCAAATGGAGTTCGTTTCAGAGCAGGGAAGAAAGGGAGGCTATTTTCTGTTTGCAACACACAGGGCTCAGCTCATCGACAGAGCCCCGGCACTCTTGCTCGCGGACTATTGGTGGCGTGTCATCTCTGTAAGCGGCATTGTGCTGCCTGTGCTCTGGGAGACAGAGAGCTAGGCACCTATCTTAGCCCATTTGGGCTGTTATCATAAAAGTGCTGTTCATTGGGTGGCTTGACTGACTAACATCTATTTCTCACATTTTGGAGGCTGAAGTCCAAGCTCAAGGTGCTGGCGGATTCGAGGTGTGGTGAGGGCCCCCTGCATGTTCATAGATGGCGCCTTCTTGCCGTGTCCTCGTGGTGGAAAGAGCAAGGGAGTCCTCTGGGGTTCCTTTTATAAGGGCACGAATCCCATTCACGAGGGATCCACCCTCATGACCTAATCATCCTCCAAAGGCCCCCACCTCCTAATATCATCTCCTTGGGGGTGAGGATTTTGACACGGGAACTTTAGGGGGACACAAACGCTCAGCGCATTGCAGACTCCCTGGAGCTTTTCTTCTGGTGCAGGGAGGCAGGCAGGAAAGGAACACAAAGGCATTGAGTAGTACCAAGTGCAGGAAGATAGTCAATGAAGTACCGTGAAAGAGAGGGGCAAGGTGAGGGGTGCAGGAGGGATATGGAACACGGGGCAGGTAGGCCTCTCTGGGAAGGCGCCATGTGAGCTGGGATTGGATGGGCGGGAGGGAACCAGCAGGGGAAGTTAGGGGTAGGTGCTCCAGGCAAGGGGTGGCCAGGTCTGGCAGGCCACGGTAAGGAGGGTGGACACTTTCTAAAAGCAATGGGTGCTGGGCTCGGCGGCTCATGCCTGTAATCCCAGCCCTTAGGAGGCCAAGGCAGGAGGATTGCTTGAGGCCAGGAGTTGAAGACCTACCTGGGCAACATCGTGAGACCCCGTCTCTACAAAAACTAAAAAATATAAAAATTAGCCAGGCATGGTGGCGTGCACCTGTAGTCCCAGCTACTCGGGAGGACGAGGCAGGAGGATCACTTGAGTCCAGGAGTTAGAGGCTGCAGTGAGCTATGATGATGCCACTGCACTCCAGTCTGGGCAACAGAGCAAGTCTGTCTCAAAAAAAAACAAATGAGGAGGATAGAAATAGATAAATAGAGCTGATAGACAGACAGACAGACAGGGTCTCCCTGGCAGCGTTTCTCGCCCTCCGCGCTACTGACACCGGGGTCTGGGTCGTTCTCTGCGGTGGGCTGTCCTGTGCTCTTTGAGGGTGGAGTGGCTTCCCTGACCTCCACCCACTGGAGACTTCAGGAGCACCCACCCCCCTCACAGTTGTGACTCCCCAAAATGTCTCCAGACCCTGTCAAGCGTTCCTTGGGTGGCAGAGTCACCCAGAGGTGAGGACCTCTGCCCTACGAGGAACTCAGATCCGCCCCAAGAGTGAGTCTCTCAATCACTCCAGCACACTGACTTCACATGCAAACGTAACATGCTTTCGTGGCACTGGAGGTACCGACATCATCCTCTTTACCATCATCCTTCATAAACCACCACCCCTGCCATTCCCTGGGGGTGGAGGTCCTACAGCCTGTGAGACCCCCAGCTTCACTGACTGGACCGGACATGGGGCCAAGTGGGCCAATTGGTTTCTGTCTTCCCAGATTTTCGAATTGGGACTCAAAGAACAAGCAGTAAGAGGGTGTCTGGTCCCCAAAATACAATCTCCTGACACCAACCAAAGCTCAAGGCAAGCTGAAGTTCCAGGGAGGCAAAAGGAAGAAACTAGAAGAGAAGCCGATGTTCACAGAGGACCCCAGAGGGAGAGAGGATAGGAAAATATCCTGATTCTCATGACTTTCTGGTTTTCATGACAACCTGCCTCCTCCAAGTAGACTTCACCAGAATGGCCTGATGGGGCCACCCCTCTATTCTGGAACAGTCCCCAATCTGTCTTTGGGGTTTTTTTGGAATTTTTGTTGTTGTTGTTGTTTTAGAGACAGGGTCTCACTCTGTTGCCCAGGCTGGAGTGCAGTGGCGTGATCATATGTCACTGTAACCTTGAACTCCTGGGCTCAAGGTATCCCCTCCACCTCAACTTCTCAAGTAGCTGGGACTACAGGCATGTGACACCATGCCCAGCTAATTTTTTTTTTTTTATAGAGACTGGGGTCTCACTGTGTTGCCCAGACTGGTCTTGAACTCCTGGCCTCAAGCGATCCTCCTGCCTCGGCCTCTCAAAGTGGTGGGATTACAGGCGTGAGCCTCAGCTTCCTGCTTGCCTTTGTACCCTTGTACAGTCCAGGCCAGTCATGAACTCTGGGGTACAACATGAAATCTGGGGTATACCCCCTGGAGTCAGATATAAGGTGGCCCCAGACTTCCCCAGCTCCCACCTGGAAGAAAGCCCTTATTTCTCAACACTGGCATGAGCGAGTTTCCATTGAAAGGAAACAAACTAAAAGCTCCTCCTCACTGGGATCTGCCCTCTAGGCAAATATGTTGTAATAGACAAAAGTCTGAAGTTGCACGGACTGAGAAAGAAAACACTGCCTCCTCCCCAAACCGAGAAGGCAAAACTGTTTGTATGCCATCCAGCACTTAGGGTGACGGGCTGGAGCATTTTTTGTCAGCCCGTTGCAGTAAAGCAAAGCTTTGTTCCTTGGTGTCTCCGCTGACTGGCCTCTACCCACCCCTCCTAGGGGAGGCAGCTTGGATGCTGGGGTGACTCTGATTAACACCCTCCTCTCTGTGGCTCCCCGTCCACACCCAGCATTTCCGAGCAAAGGCTCTGGTCTGACATGTCCCTGGTCGATTGGTGTTCACAGCCCTGAGACTTTCATCGGGTTGACCAACCGGCTAGGCAGTCCCTTCTTTCTTTTTTATGTAGGTATTTATTTTCCCGGCTTTATTAAGGTATAGCTGATGAATAAAAATTCATCCGTGCAAGGTGTACAAAATGATGATTTGATACACGTATACATTGTGTAATGATGACCACAATCAAATTAGTCAACACGTCTGTTACCACGCAGAGTCGAGATTGTGTGTGTGTGTCTGTGTATGTGTGTGTGTGGTGAGGATGCTTAAGATCTACTCCCTCTAGGCTCACGCCTATGAGCCCAGCACTTTGGGAGACTGAGATAGGAGGATTGCTTGAGGCCAGAAGTTCAAGACCAGCCTGAGCACCATAGCAAGACCCCATCTCTGCCAAAAAATAGGAAAAATTAGCTGGGCATGGTGGTGTGAGCCTGTAGTCCCAGCTACTTGGGAGGCTGAGGCAGGAGGATCGCTTGAGCCCAGGAGTTGGAGGCTGCAGTGAGCTATGGTGACACCACTGCACTCCACCTCTGTGGATGAGAGTGTATCAGAACAAACAAACAATCAAAAAGACACAGAAATACTCAGGGAGGAGACGGCTGTGTGAAGACAGAGGCAGAGACTGCAGTGGCGCGTCTACTGGCCAAGGAAGGCCCGGGGTGGCCAGAACCTAGAACCTAAGAGGAAGTCACAGAATACATTCTTCCCTAGAGGCCTCGGAGGGAGCGTGGCTCTGTGGACACCTGATTTCAGTCTTCTGGCCTGAGAAATGTGAGAGGACAAATGTCTGCTGTTCTAAGCCCCCAGGGGTGATTTGTGACAGCAGGAAATGAAAGCATGAATTATATCTCAGTTTAAAAAAGGGGGAAAAACAGAGTTAAAAAAAAAAAAACACACAAAAACAGAGACTTACCGGGAAAAAAAAAAAAAACACACAAAAACAGAGACTTACCGGGAAGACACGATGTAGCCCAGCACATGGCCCACGAGGAGCTGCCCATGTGTCTGCTCCAGCCGGGTGCAGAGCTGGTGTGTCGCTTCCTCGGCCGTGGTGGCTAGAGGGGCTGGCACGGAAAAGGAGGCCCATTTCCGGGCCTCCTCGAAGGCCAGTCTCAGCCGCCCTGGGTGCCCGCACTCCGGGAGGCTGGCCCAGAGCAGGTCCCTCTGCACAGGGGTCAGCGTCCTTCTCGCAGCCACCAGCAGGAGCTGGATCATCTCTTGCCCCAGGTTTCCCGACAGGGGCTTCACCTCCCAGTAAGCCCCCGGGTCTGCGACCATCTGCCGCATGGTGTTCAAGACCCCCCGCTGCCCTGAGCAGGCCGAGAGAATGAGGTGCACCCTCGGGGGGCACGTGAGGGGCAGCCAGGGGACCCTCCTCGTGTGGTGGGCCACGTCCAGGTCGTCCATGGAATCCAGCAGGAGCACCAGAGACTCGAAGTTTCTGCAGGAGACCGTGTGGAGGAGGATCTGGAAAAACTGGACCACCCTAGTGTGTGCACCCAGGACCTGGGCAGGGGGCAGGGGCAGCCCGTAGGCCAGGCACACCTGGAAGCAGATGCCCTTAAGGAGGCTGCGGGTGTCGGAGCTCATCTGCGACGTCCCCAGCAGCCGCAGGACGGTCACCGTCCTGTGGCCGAGCAGCCCTGGCATCTGCTCGGCCAGCTTGCACAGCAAGGCCGTCTTTCCAACGCCCGGAGGGCCCGAGAGCACCAGCGGCGTGTGGGGCTTGCCATCGCTCTGCCTGAGCCTCCGCCCGAGCTGGGCCAGGAGCTCCTGGCGTCCGCAGAAGGTCCGGGTGGCCTCCGCGCTCTGCCAAAGGTGGTGGCGGATCTCCTGGTAGAGCCAGCCCAGCTCCTGCCGGGCCACCTCCAGCTCGCGCAGGTGTTCGAGGACCTGGTGGTTGGCCCTGGCCACAAACTGCTCACTCAGCTCCTTCAGGTAGCGCGCATGAGCCCTGTTCTTGGGGTTCACCAGGTCGCGGCTCCACAGCAGGTGGTGGACCTTGAGGACTCCCGGCTGCGTGTCGGCAATGCGCCCCTTGAGGCCGCTGAGAAGGTTCTGGGCATCGGTGTCCAGGCAGCCGTCCGCGAGCCGGTCCACCATCTTGAGGGCACAGTCTTCCAGGATGTGTTTGTTGCGGTCTTGGATTTCTCGAAGGAAGACGGTGGCTCCCTGGTCCCCGTTCTCTGAGCTCAGCAAGCCCTGCTCTATCTCCCATTCGATGACTGCAAACGTGGAAAAAGTCAGCGATTATTATGTCAGCAGCCACCTGCGTGGGGCTGCTTGGGAGGCACGCTCATGGGGGGTACACTGGGACTCAAGCTTAACGTGCCCCGGAGTCACCTGGGGCTGTGGTCCCCAGCCTGCAGGCCTCTGACTGGTACCCGTCCCTGGCCTGTTCGGAGCCAGGCCGCACAGCAGGAGGCCAGCGGCGGGCGAGCAGCGAAGCTGCACCTGTGTTGACAGCCGCTCCCCATGGCTCGCAGCACCGCCTGAGCGCCGCCCCCTGTCAGGTCAGCAGCGGCATCAGCTTCTCATAGGAGCACGAACCCTACTGCAAACTGCGCACGCGAGGGATCTAGGTTGCTCCTTATGAGACTCTAACACCCGATGATCTGGGGTGGAGCTGAGGCGGTGACGCGAGCGCTGGGGAGCGGCTGCAAATGCAGATTCTCATCAGCAGAGAGGTTTGATTGTACAATACGCCCTCGAATCGTCCAGAAACCATTCAACCCCAGTTTGTGGAAAAATTGTCTTCCATGAAACCAGTCCCTGGTGCCAAAAAGGCTGGAGACTGCTGCTCTATAGAGGGGACTTGAACAAACCCACGTGGCCGGGCCCCACCTCCAGAAGCTGTGATTCCCCAGATCTGGGTGGAACCCGTCAGTTTGCATTTCCAGCAAGCTATGAGGCTTGCTGGTCCAGGGACTGCACTGATTTAGCTGTTATTAATCAAAGAATCCTTGGGGTAGGCAACACAGAGACCCTGTGTGAGAAGCAGCGCCATCGTAGAACAATGCTCTCATCCTCAAAAAGGGAAACATGGCGTTATACAGGACCCAGAAATTCTGCTTCTATATATCTGCCCCCAAAGAACTGAAACCAGCAACTCAAACAAATGCTGGCATGCTCTTGCTCACGGCAGCACTGTGCACGGCAGCTAAAGGGAGGAAACAACCCAGACATCCATCAACGGGCAAGAGGATAAACAACATACGGTGTATCTATGCAATGGCCTGCTATTCAGCCGTGAAAACGGGCCAGGTATCGACACATGATACCACGTGGATGGGCCTCGAAAACATTACGCCGAGTGAGAGAAGCCAGCTGCAAAAGGTCACATATGGCACGATCCCAGCGACACGAAATGTCCAGAACAGGCCAATACATATACAGGAAATAGATCAGCGGCTGCCAGGGGCTGGCGGAGGGGATTGCGGAGTGAGTGCTAATGGGGAGGGGGTCTCCTTTTGGAGTCGACAGGAATGTTCTGAACGAGATAGAGGTGATGGTCGCCCAGCACAGCAAGTGTATTGTGCTAAATGCCACTGAATTGTATACAGCTGACCCTGACCAACACGGGTTTGAACTGTGTGGGTCCACTTACACTGAGACCTTCCTCCACCTCTGCCACCCCTGAGACAGCAAGACCAACCCCTCCTCTTCCTCCTCCTCCTCCTCAGCCTACTCAACATGAACACAATGAGATGAAGGCTTTCATGATGACCCACTTCCACTTAATGAATAGGAAATATATTTTCTCTTCCTTAGGATTTGCCTAATAACATTCCTTTTCTCTCACTTAGTTTATTGCCAGAATATAGTATATAATACACATAACATACAAAATCTATGTTCACCAACTCTTCATGTTAACGGTAAGGCTTTCGGTCAACTGTAGGCTATTAGTAGTTAGGTTAAGTAGTCAAAAGTTACGTGTGGATTTTCAACTGCACAAGGTGGGGGGAAGGAAGCTGGGGAGTGGCTGGCGCCCCTAACCTCCAAGTTGTTCAAGGGTCAACTGTACCTCAAAACGGTGAATTTCATGCTATGTGAATTTCACCTCAATTAAAAAAAAAAATCCAATGTTGTCAGTTTCAGGTGCCGCCCTCACCCATTCATTCAACAAACTGTATGTTGAGTTCCTACTTGTGCCGACCTCTGCTCTCCTCGCTGGGGATCTAGCAGTGAACACAGCACTCAAAGATCCCTGTCGAGGTGGAGTGGATATTCCAGAATGAATGAATACATGGACACATAAACAGACAGAGAGATAGTGAAGGAACAAAGCTGGGGCATTCGAAGCTGCAGAAAAACATCTGCAAAGCCACAGAGGCTGGAGGGAGAGTTTTTAATGAGCTTGGAGGCTGCACTCCTGGAGGGGTAGAGACCAACTCACGTCTTTCTGAGAGCAAGGGTTGGCACAGTTTTCTGTAAAGTGTCAGAGGGTAAACATCTGAGGCTTTCCAGGCCAGATGGTGTCTGTCGCAGCTTCTCAACTTTGCGGTTGTAGCATGAAAGCAAATGGACAGCATGCGAACTAATGCACTTGAGTACGTTCCAATAAAACTTTATTTACAAAAGCAAGCAGTGGGCCAGATTCGGCCCTCTGACCATGGTTTGCTGACCTCTGTCCCAGAGCATGCAGTAGCTGCCCCAAGGACCCATATTTTCTAGAATCACGGGTCCACACTGACTTCTCCTTGGAGGCTGTTGTTTTGAAATAGCAGTTAGATCTAAGGAGTTATTTTTGAAGCAGCTCTGGGCTCGGTGGAGACTCCTAGATCTCCGCAGCTGAATGAGCCAGGCCCTTGGAGACAGGGCTCAACCTCCAAGCCACAGACAAGAGCCACTCAAATGTCCTCCTTGGAGAGACCTCACACACACACCCCCCACTTGGCCCTGTGAATGAAGGTCACAGATGAAGGCAACTAACAATTCCAAAACGGGATTCCTCTCAGACACATGTCAGCATGAACCAATCTAAGACCACCTGCAGGCTGTGTGGCCTTGAGGAAGTCACTGCACCTCTCTGATCCTCTGTTTGCTCCTCTGCAACATGTGTGTACTACTTCATCCTGGTAGGGGGCTGTTGTGTGAATTTTCTATGGACTAAGCCTTGTAAAAAGCTGAACTTACTATGCAGAAGGAAAAAGGCCAGTCTCTAAAGGTTGGAGGTCATTCCAACTTCTGTAACATTGTTAAAATAACAAAATTATAGACACAGAGACACATGGGTGGTTCTAAGGGTTAGGGATTGGGGCGTGGAGAGTGAGTGCGGCTATAAAAGGGGTGGCGGGAGGGATCTTTTCAGCGAGGAGCAGGCCTGTATCTGGGCTGCGACGGTGCTTACTCGACTGCATGTGATAAGATCGCATAGCACAAAATGCACACATGCAAAGACAGGCCTGTAAGTTTTGCTCTTTCCGGATTGTAACAACGTCCATTTCTTGGTTGCAATACTGTTCTCTAGTTTTGCAACTAAATGATGCTGGGGACATTGCGAGCCTAAATTCTCTTGAGTCTTCTTCCATGGGGTGAACTGGGGTGAAGTTGCGTCAAATCTCTCCACACTATTTTTTTTTTTGCAACTTCCTATGAATCTCAAATTATTTGGAAATTAAAAGTTTTAAAAGAAATAGCTGAGCAAGATTCCTGAAAATAATATGCTCTGAAAGACACAGTCACCGTCATGCCCCCCACCCCCCTGAACTCAGCTCTAGTTTTCTGCTAATTTCAAGGCGGTCCTATTTGTTCATTTGCATGGGACTTCTCAACGGGCGAAGCTGGACATTGTCTGATGAGGTCAAAAGGGTCAAGACTCTTTGCATCCTCACGTGACACCATGAGGTCTGACTTCTGACTCGTTCACTTTACAGATG